AACCACACCTTCGGGACACTAGAGAGCATCACTGCGCGACAACACCAGCGCTCACAGAGCGAAGACAGATCACAAGACCAGCGTGCCCTTCCCTCCAGGGCACCAGACATGATGCGAAACCTTACGCTGCACGCCTCCCAGGAACGCCATCCACTGGACTACCCAGTCACAGTGACCATCGCGAGAGACAGAAACGCTAGTGGACCCATGCCGAGGCCCACAAGGCGAGGCCAACACCTCCACCTCATACACGAGGAGGTCAGAGAAACACTTCCCGTGCCGGTACGTAGTCTGCCAACCACGGATCCTCCTTCGTTGCTGGTCCCGAGGACACGGTACATGTCCATACGGACAACAGTAGTATACGCCCCTGACTGGTAGTTCCACGGCTGCTCCCGCAGCGTGACACCGTCTCCCTTACCCCCCGCAAGGGAACAAGACATCGCATACAGCGACACCAGATCCACTGCACGGACAGCCGTCCGCCACGCTAGCACAGGAAAATAACCCGCCTCCTGCTTCAAGCTGAGGTGCGCCCTGCACCTCTCATACACGCAGCAGCGCCACTCCTCAGAGTCCTCGGAGCCCCCCCCGGGACAGCCCTCCAGGCCAGGACAACACTCCACTAGGCCATCGGTCAGCACAGCCGACAACAAGCGTCGCATCTCCAGCTGCGAACCACCTGCCGTAGCAACAAAGCCGGGCACCAGCCCGGTAGCCTCCCTGTTCACTCCTCCCGTCCTCGCAAGCGACGACGCACTCTCCCGTCTCCACCGGGGACTAGGAATCGACCCGTCATCCAAGACAAGCGGGACCTCCATCCCGCGCACAACCCCTCCGGTATCGTCGTTCGTCCCTGCTGTCGTTCCACTGTGTTTCCCCCGGGGAAAAGAAAGGAAAGAAGAACTGTCGCACCCCGCCATCTTCTGGGAAGGGCCTCAGCCCTTCCTTTGTATCCAAGGAATGTGGGAGAAAGTGGCCCACTTTCGTCCCTTTTAGGTAACAGATATGGGCCAGCAGGCCCATCTCTGATAGGGTAGCAAGAGATGGAGCGAGGCTCCACTCTGTCAACGGTCAACGCCCATCTTACAAGTGAATCATACAGAGCTCGCACCAAATGCTCGCTAGATGGGCGTTCTGATTCGTCCAAAGGCCAAATTATTCCCTGTCGTATCCACTTTGGTCAACGAACTTCGTTGACGACGACCCCTTGGCTCGCCGTCGCCTCGTCCGTCTGTTGGTCACGCGCCATGCCACCTTCGGCGTCAGCCACGCTCCCACACTCTGTGTTTGTTGTTGCATAGCCATGGTTTCTCTCTGTGAGTAGAAAATATGATTTCATCATTCACTCTCGTGTATTAAGCAGCGTCGCTACGCTCGAGCTGCACAGGGCTGCCGCCCCGTACCCCGCGGATCCGGAACTCTAGCCATCTTTTCCGACAGCATGCGGATTAAGTAGTGTAAGCATGTCTTAGCGACACGCATCTTCTAGTTTGAGGCCACACTTTCTCAGTGTTACTGCATCTCACGATTACTTTTGGTGTTCTCCACCACACATTCATTTCATTGCATCACTTCGTTCATTCCTGGTTCTACTGATGACTTCATCCAATCGTCCCGATACTCCTGCTTCGCATAGCACGACTAACATCCTGCTCTACTCTCTCTTCATACTATTCGCTACCCTGCAGCCACTAAGAGATCCATCCACCATAGAGAATCCCTCTCACGCTGCCACCAGACCTCGCTGAGGCGAAAGACACTCGTGACCCGACAAGGCAATGCACCGCGCACCGCACATGCGACGACGCAGCAGAAACCCCTTCCATCCTCCGAGAGGTCAGCCTCTTGATGCCGTCCCGCCCAGAACAGCTACTCCGCCCTGTGTACAATAGCCAGTCAAGCTCGTCACAGCGTTCGCATACTGCTCACCAGGGTAGGCGCGCCAGAAGGTAAACTGCACCGCAAGGGAGTCGCACCCGACACCGCCACCGCAGGCCTCGCGCTAATGATCCAAACACCGTCATCCTCGACAGAGCGTGCACGATGAACCTGCATGTCCATCGTCCAACCTGAACAAAAATGCGCCGCACATCCCCGAGACAATATCGCTGCTGCTGGATGAAATTATCCATGTCCACCCGGTGGATACCTCCGTCTTAGCAAAAGACGGTGCCATAGGCAAACCGGTGAAACGCACACGCGTGCAGTCGCTCCTTCGCCAGGATCACGGGTTGGCACGCGACCCCCGGTGCGGCCATCACACCTGTGCACGGCAACAGCCTCCATCGCACCTTCCTGCATGCTCCGCCTAAAGAGTTCGGCATCCACCTGCCTCACCGGCCCATCATACGTCGAGCTGCCCTTCTTCCGCCCTCTCGGCTGCATGTACATGTCCACATCGTACACGCCTTGCATAGGTCGAACCCAGCTCGCCCTCGCCTGTCCTTCCGAACAGCACCATCATGCACAGCACCTCTCGCGCCCGCTGCTACTCAGCACTCACCCACCAGTGGGTTCAGTCTTCCTCCGGAAATACTCACAAGCCCCGTCGTACTGCGCCGTGTCAATAAAGTCCTCGGCCGACCACAGTCCGTCTCGATCCCCTCCAAGCCCACTTGGACGAAAGGAGCATGTCCCGCCTGCTCCCAGCACCGCATATATACTCGCGTGTTCGGCCATCCTGGCTAGTCGTCCCTTTGTTGTTTCTCCCCGAGAAAGAGAAGGAAGAAAGAGAACTCCTTTGCTCTGTTCTTGGAAGGCCCCAGCCCTTCCTTTGTACTTCCAAGGAATGTGCGGATTGTGTGCACGCACACTAATCCTTTTTCGGTGTTCGAACTGGGCCAGCAGGCCCACTTCTCATTGGGTAGCGAGGTAGGTCCAAGGACCCACTCTCGTCAACGGTCAACGCCCATCTTACAAGTGAATCATACAGAGCTCGCACCAAATGCTCGCTAGATGGGCGTTCTGATTCGTCCAAAGGCCAAATTATTCCCTGTCGTATCCACTTTGGTCAACGAACTTCGTTGACGACGACCCCTTGGCTCGCCGTCGCCTCGTCCGTCTGTTGGTCACGCGCCATGCCACCTTCGGCGTCAGCCACGCTCCCACACTCTGTGTTGTTGTTGCATAGCCATGGTTTCTCTCTGTGAGTAGAAAATATGATTCATCATCTCACTTCCGTGGTTATTCGCCACGTCGCTACGCTCGTGTGGCACAGGGCTGCCGCCCCGTACCCCGCGGATCCGGAACTCTAGCCATCTTTTCTGACAGCATGCGGATTAAGTAATAAAAGCATGTTTTAGGACATGCATCTTCTAGTTTTGAAGCCACACTTCCCCAGTGTTTGTTGCATCTCACGATCTTTCTTGGTGTTTTGTTCCACTTCTTCACACATTTCATGCAATCACATCCTGTTCATCTCATCATCCCTCGAGTCACTCTGTTTATTCTCATACGGCCTACTGTTCCTCTCATTTCATTTAGTAATCCGTCCCATTCTATTACTACTACGATACACGCTGTTCCTTCCTCTTTGCATTTCATCTACTCCATTCCTACACGTCATCACTCAGTTGTGTGCTACACATGGCGCATAGAGCGACACCAAGTCAGCTGCACTTCCACCACCGACACTGCAGCTCGGCGGAAACAACACCGTGTCTTTCCACACCAAAAAGCTCTGCCGGTTCCAGCAGAAACCACACCTTCGGGACACTAGAGAGCATCACTGGCGCGACAACACCAGCGCTCACAGAGCGAAGACAGATCACAAGACCAGCGTGCCCTTCCCTCCAGGGCACCAGACATGATGCGAAACCTTACGCTGCACGCCTCCCAGGAACGCCATCCACTGGACTACCCAGTCACAGTGACCATCGCGAGAGACAGAAACGCTAGTGGACCCATGCCGAGGCCCACAAGGCGAGGCCAACACCTCCACCTCATACACGAGGAGGTCAGAGAAACACTTCCCGTGCCGGTACGTAGTCTGCCAACCACGGATCCTCCTTCGTTGCTGGTCCCCGAGGACACGGTACATGTCCATACGGACAACAGTAGTATACGCCCCTGACTGGTAGTTCCACGGCTGCTCCCGCAGCGTGACACCGTCTCCCTTACCCCCCGCAAGGGAACAAGACATCGCATACAGCGACACCAGATCCACTGCACGGACAGCCGTCCGCCACGCTAGCACAGGAAAATAACCCGCCTCCTGCTTCAAGCTGAGGTGCGCCCTGCACCTCTCATACACGCAGCAGCGCCACTCCTCAGAGTCCTCGGAGCCCCCCCCGGGACAGCCCTCCAGGCCAGGACAACACTCCACTAGGCCATCGGTCAGCACAGCCGACAACAAGCGTCGCATCTCCAGCTGCGAACCACCTGCCGTAGCAACAAAGCCGGGCACCAGCCCGGTAGCCTCCCTGTTCACTCCTCCCGTCCTCGCAAGCGACGACGCACTCTCCCGTCTCCACCGGGGACTAGGAATCGACCCGTCATCCAAGACAAGCGGGACCTCCATCCCGCGCACAACCCCTCCGGTATCGTCGTTCGTCCCTGCTGTCGTTCCACTGTGTTTCCCCCGGGGAAAAGAAAGGAAAGAAGAACTGTCGCACCCCGCCATCTTCTGGGAAGGGCCTCAGCCCTTCCTTTGTATCCAAGGAATGTGGGAGAAAGTGGCCCACTTTCGTCCCTTTTAGGTAACAGATATGGGCCAGCAGGCCCATCTCTGATAGGGTAGCAAGAGATGGAGCGAGGCTCCACTCTGTCAACGGTCAACGCCCATCTTACAAGTGAATCATACAGAGCTCGCACCAAATGCTCGCTAGATGGGCGTTCTGATTCGCTCAAATCGCGAAATATTCCCTGTCGTATCCACTTTGGTCAACGAACTTCGTTGACGACGACCCCTTGGCTCGCCGTCGCCTCGTCCGTCTGTTGGTCACGCGCCATGCCACCTTCGGCGTCAGCCACGCTCCCACACTCTGTGTTTGTTGTTGCATAGCCATGGTTTCTCTCTGTGAGTAGAAAATATGATTTCATCATTTTACTCTCGTAGTTATTCGCCACGTCGCTACGCTCGTGTGGCACAGGGCTGCCGCCCCGTACCCCGCCGATCCGGAATCTTAGCTCTCTTTTCCGACAGCATGTGGTACCAGACTATCAGCAGTCTTTAGCTGCACGCATCTTGTTGGGGCAAACGAAGCCCCTCACTGTTAGTGTTTCTCTAATCTCACGATGTTTTTTGGTGTTTCACACACGTTTTCATTTCATCTCATGCAATCATTCATTCACTCTGTTCAATTTCAATCACCCTGTTCACTGGTTGTTCGACTCATCTCATCATCCATCCTGTTTGTCATTCCCATTCCACTAATCTACAAGTGCTCCGCGCGTGCATAGCACAAGACTCTGTTCGCGTGTATACAAATCCCCATGGTGAAACCACGCGAGTAGAAAGAGAAGTCTACCGCCACCGGTCTAGTACGCATACCTCTGGCAGAACAGCCTGTATCTCCCAAGAGCCCCACGTAGTCCTGGAGGGGCAAGAATGAGATCATCCTCCGACCAACAATCCTTCACCGCCAAGCTAACGCAAGTGCACGGCTTCTCCTCCGTGCAGGATACCTGGTTCCGCCACTGATCAGCTGCGGCCCAGAAAGAAGACGCAGTCCAACCCAGCACTGCGGTGCTACCAAGGCTCATCAGCCACTCTTCCACGCAGAGTGAGACAACATCCATGTCTTGTATCTGGGCCCACTGGCCAATATATCTAGCCAAATAGGCAGAAGCAAAGAGACTCGCAGCGACCCACTGCCTCCTCGTAGCAAATCTCCCCAGGAGACTCACGTACGGATCAGAGTCCGCCCCAGCGGACAAAGAGTGACAAACACATTCGCA